TCCAATCCAATACTCCTCATAGAGGACCATTGGGTACGTGGTGCGCATGAGTAGTGAATGCCATGTGCATCTCACAGCATTCTATTCAAAATAGAGTTCAGGAAGTGCCTCTAGTCGCTTTCATAGATATACAAAGAAACTTTGAGATACGGCTGTGTAGAATCTAAATCAGGAACAAAAAGAAAATATACATAGTGTAAATCAGTAAAAAAAAATTAATAGTGCGCTGTGATTGAAATACACTCACAAGATTGAGATGGATAATGCGCTCAAAGGTGCCTGCCCCAGTATTGATGTGCGGCTATTCCTCCACTTTCCACTGGAATTCCAAGCGGACCAAACGTGTAATGAGACTCTAAAGGGTATAAGTTATAAACAAATGTATTATAAAAAAGGAGCAATAAACATTTTTTTATTTCTCAAAGTTTTTAAAATTTTATTCATAATAAGTTATGTTTCATATATGAATAGTTCATGAGAAATTAAAGCCCTGTTTCTCCTGAACAAAATGATATATAATAAGTGTTGTTGCACTTTATATGAAAGAGGTGAATTACGGTTGAACAGACATATAGCACATATTCCAGGATTTGTTTACGTTTTGTTTTGATCAGAACGTGTACCATTGACTCCGTCCTAAGGGGTAAATAGGACAGGGTCTCAGCCCCTACACCACTTCATTGAGATAAAGTGGTCTGGGTGACTTTATTGTCATTTTAACAAATAATCTACTGAGTTTCTTGTTCCATGACAATTAATGGAGATATGGCAGATATGGAGATATGACATGTAGAGGCTTTAACATAAAAAATCCACTTTTGCATCAACCACTGTTTAGAGAACTACATACCAAGGCAGACTCACCAAGTCAATTCAAGTTCTTTATTACAGTCGGCATACTCTCATAAAACCCTGTGCCACCAGCACTCAGTAACATGGCAGATCAGGGAACACGATAGGAATATACTTAAAATGTGTAGCAATTTAATTGAAACATATTAAATGGTACTTACAAATGCAAAGTTTTTGAATTTTATCACCATATAATAATTTTTATGTCCTATTTAGGCAGCTTGTATATTAGTAACATTCATTAACTAACATGCATTAAAGATTAAACTTATTCCGGTGTTGAAATTTAACCTGTATGTCTATGCAGATGTATGATTAATTTCTTTCTTTCTCTACAATAAATGTTATACCAGTGTAAGCCAACTGAAGACGCCTATGAAAACACCACTTTCATGACAGTAACTTTCAGCTTTTGTCGAGCATTGTTATGTAAAGAGTGCAAATCTAAATAAACACACTTTGACTTCAGGCTAGCCACATCACAGGTCAGTGTTTTATTTGAATTAGCTCTAGGTATTTTGAAGCTAGTACACAGTAAGATCATTATTGACCTCTATAGACCCACCATGGTGCAAGCACTGATTGGAATTCAAGTATAACAGTGATGACAGTCTAAAGACAGTTCATTTGTTTACTGCTAACCTATGGCAACCAGATGTCCAGTTTTTTCAAAACATGTAGTGTTTGAATAAGAAATTGAATGAAAGACATGATATGGACTTCCGAGGACAAATAAAAGATAATGTTCTTATATATAGATTTTTTTTTTTTGCCCACAATACACACCAAATCTACCATGTTGAGTGATAGCTCACCATTAAATCTCTCAGTAAATATATTTACATAGGGTGCACATCATGAGAAACCATGGATATTAGTATAAAGACTAATAGAGGATAAAAGTCATGCAACATCTAAGATCATAGGATACTTTTAATAGGGTTTGTTCAAATTAAGAATTTATGTCGCCAACTCCAGCAGATTCTTTTAAAGTATATTTGGAACAGATACATTTGGGATGTAAACTGTTCATGCACAGTTTAGGAACAGGAAGCTAGTTAAAAGGCAAGAAACTAGTTTAGTACAGGCAATTTACCAATAGCTTATGGTATATAAGATTATATATATAAATTTGAGACATGCAATTAACATGATCAAAAAATTGCAGGTTTTAGTTCATAACTTAAAAAAATTATTCTTAAATTATATGCAACACATTTAATAAATAAACTGACTTAACAATACTATTGCACAATTCTGAACAGTAATCTATTACAATACAAGTATAGAAGAAAAATTGCTTTACAAATACAGTGTTAGCCCTTAGAAAATGTTTAATTGGTACAGTGAAAAGGGCGATATGACCCACTTACAAACATAAACAAAAGTAAGGGGAAGAAAAGAAAAAAGACAAAAGCAAGGAAAGAGAAATATAAAGGGAATTAGATTTCCATAATTTGTAAGCAGTTAAATATCACAAGTTACAAGCTAATTTCTTCCCTTACGTCCCACATTTATGTAAAAAGCAGCGGAAACATTAAATAAAGAGGTTAATTTATTTGTAAGTTTGGTATATTTAATTTTAGTAATCACTTCTGCCAGGTTCGGGGGTACTATAACTTGTAGCAACGATACAACAAGCACCTTGCAGATACTTAAAGTAATTTTATTATGATATCATTATATGGATAACTTATTAAAAATGCATGCAATTTTTACAAAGCTAGAAAATAAAAAATATACTTTGCATTATCCTTGTTTAGAGTTTCCCACTCCAGGAAGAAGCTTGGATAATATAGAGTCTTTCATTGAGGTCAACAGCGTCAGAACTATTGTTTTTGTCCTCCTGGAGGCATAACCACCTAGCAAAGCTAGTGGGTATGCGTCAGCCTCCTGGAGTCAAGTGCCAGAGCTGAAAACGCTTGTGCTGTGCATCTGAGCTCGGGAATCCTGATTGCCTCAGATTTTTAAAAAGGCATCATTGATGGAGGACTCTATTTCTGTGTCTGCCACAGATTTAGTGGATGCCTCTCTTAATGGCAGCCCCATCAATGTTATAAAGCTCCATAAGATAGCTTTCCTTGCCAGGGATCTATCCTCTTCATCTTCTGAGGAGGATTTGGTCCCAGTTTTAAGCAAAAAGAATAAAGGAAGGCGACTGGTCTCTTCCGCCAGTTCCTCATCTGAGGAAAACTTCTCTGCTCTTCCTTCCCCTCATACTCGTTTGAGTAAGTGTAAAATTAAGGGGACAGGACCCCAAAAAAGGAATAGTGTGTTTCCCTCGTTTGAGCACCAGAAACACCTTCCAGAGAAAAAGGACAAATCTCGTTGGAGGTTAGATAGTCCCTCTCCTTCCTCTTCTAGAGCATCACTCTTCCTCCCAAAGCCGTTCCAGTTCCAGATACAGCTCTCCAGAAATAGACTGGGAATCCGAGGAAGTGGTACGTTCAGCAGCTTCCACTGAGCGGGGGAAGCTAAGCAATGTTCAGATGGCCAGAGTAAGTCTCCTAGCATTCAGGAGGTTAACGGCCGTTACAAGGCAAGGAGATCCTTTTCAGAACTCTAGAAGTCTGTCCCTGGCTACAAAAAGCCCTTTCGGACAGAGGGTCGCCCCTGTAGGGCTGCAGGAGGGTCCCAAGAAGCCACTCACCAGGCCCAGTACCACCACTACAGTGGAAGACACAAGCTCCCGGGCGGTGGCAGAGGAGCGCATTCCAGAGGCGGTTCAGCTTTGCAAAAGAAAACCCATGCATTCAAGTAAGTGTGCCTCCTCACATGCCACTAAATTGGAAGGATATTTCCTCAGACAAATGGGTTCTAAAGATTTTTCAAAGGGGTTTAAAACTCCCCCTTTTAAGGTCCCCAGTCCAGAAATTTGCACCTCACAGAGAGGTGAACCCAGTGCTAGATGCTTCCCTTTCCTTAGCTTTAAGTCAAGGGAAGATAGAGTTGGCAGACATGTGTATTACAGGAATCAGGAATCAGACCTTAACGTGAGGTCTCTGAACACTTTCATCAAAAGGAAAAGGTTCAGGAAGGAGGGTTTATCAGATCTTTCAGGCTTAGTACAGAAAGCTTTTTTCTGCATAAAGTTAGACCTAAAAGATGCGTTCCATTCAGTCCCCATAGCCAAGAAACACAGGCGTTTTCTGAGGTTTCAGTGGAAAAGAAAAGTGTGTCAGTGGACCGTTATGGTGTTTGGCCTATCCAATGCACCATACACATTCTCCAGAATTATGAAATCAGTGATACTCATGTCAGACTAAAAGGTTTCATGTGTCTGTACTATCTAGACGACATCCTGCTCATGCACCCAGATGGGGAAATCCTTACTTCTCAAAGGGATTACCTTGCTTCCCTTTTACAAGACCTAGGATTTGTAGGCACCAGAGTTGGTCATTGAGAGACCTAGCAAAGATTATCGGGAAATTTATAGCTTTAACACCAGCATACGACAATTCCCCCTTACTTTGCAGAAGAAGTCAGCTGTTTTTAGGGAATCGACTAAGACAGGGCAGCCATTGGGAATCAAAATGTATTCTCCCCAAGAAGGTCAGAGAAGAGTTGAAGTCCATTCTGGAGTTAGAAATTCCACGTCCTCGTCCCCTGTTAGAGAAGACTGTGGCAGTCAATCTGACGTCAGATGCCTCAAGTCACGGTTGGGGTGCGTTTACAGCCCAGAACGCCATAAAAGGAATTTGGTCAGACCAAGAGAGTTACCTCCATATAAACATCTTGGAGTTAAGAGCTATAAAATTAGCTCTCCAGGGCCTAGTTCCTCTAAACCAGTCACCGACATCGGTAAAAGTCCAATCGGACAACAGAACAACGGTGGCTTATATAAACCACAGAGGGGGCACAAGATCAAGGGGTCTTTGTTTAGAGGCTCTAGATCTTTGGTCTTGGGCTTTAGCAAGAAATGTTCAGGTTTTCACAGAATACGTTCCGGGAGAGGCGAACAAGCTTGCAGACTCTCTCGCCAACGATTCAATTAAAGATTGCTCTGTTCCAATGGATAGAAAGCAATTTTGGCCAGAGACAGGTAGATGTGTTTGAATCCCAAACATTTGCACAAACTCCCAGGTTTGTCTCCCGGACCTGGACAAAGGGAGCTTGTAAAATGGATGCAATGTCTTTCCAATGGACAGATGTTTCAGCCCCTTATGCTTTCCCCCTCCATCTTTACTGATGAAAGTGTTGGAGAAGATCCGCAGGGACAGGGTACAGAGCTTAGTTCTCGTTTATCCAGTATGGACCTCCAGACCCTGGTATCCCTTGATCCACCAGTTAGTCAAGGGAACCAAGATCACATTGGGCATGACAGTGGACTGCTTTCAGGGAACCAGCAATCTTCTGCTCAAGCTCCCGCAGCTGATGTGGATCGCAGCCCTGGTAGGCTGTTAACACATCCCCTTTTATCGGATCAGGTCTTGGATATTATTAACTCATCTTTAAGATGTAGAACTAGGGTAAGATATAGAAAGATGATCGAGGAATTCAAAGAATGGGAGGTTTATTTTCTGTCTAACACACAGGGATCTGATACCGTTCCATTGGCTTTAAAATTTCTTACCCTTAAGTTCCATTCTGGTTTATCTGTCAGTTCAATCAAGACCTATGGATCTGCTTTAAACTTCCTGATCCCCAACCTTACTCAGGATGCCCTGTATTTGAGATTACTAAAAGGGTTATCCGTCTGCCGCCCATATACCCCACGCTACACATCTACTTGGGATGTAGACATCTTATTAAATTTCCTTAATTCTTTGGATAATGCTAAAATTGATTTAAGATGGACTGCTATTAAGTTGGCTCCTCTGCTGTCCTTGGCCCTGGCAGCTAGAGGAGCCGAGTTAACTCAAATCTATATTTCAGATCCTTGGTTGTCCAGGCCCCGGGAGGTTTCCATATTATACTAAAAGGCAGACAAAAAACATCCAATTTTTCTCCTGGTCCGGTAGAATTGGATTTGGTTCAAGATCCTTCCAAACCAGGCTTATGTTTAGTCAGTTTGTTACAATCGTACCTTCAACCTTCTGCTGTATTTAGAAATGATATCAGTCAATTATTCATTACATCAAGAAATCCCTTTCATCCAGCCAAGGTTAATACAATTAGAGACTGGATACTTTCCGCCATGTCTTCGGCTGGTATTGATGTTTCCGTGTTCAAAAGACATTCAATTAGGAGAGCCTTGGCTACTAAAGCAGCAGGAAAGGGCATCCCTCTCCCTACTATCTTGAAAGTTGCTAGATGGTTGTCCAGTAAAACCTTTGTTAGATCAGAAGTTGAACGCCTTCAGTTTCTAAGGACCACCACCAGGGGTGTGCTATTCTACCCACTAGCTTTGCTAGGTGGTTATGCCTCCCGGAGGACAAATCAGAGTTTGCATGAATCTATGATCTGCAAACTTTCTTTGTCTTAGGGATGAGCATAACCACTTAGCAATAGCGCCCGTCCCACCCTCCTCTAAGTAAAGGGTTTTGCCTGCTGGTGGTAGTTTGTTTTTCTAAAACATAAAGTTATCTGGTGCTTATTCAGCCTATTGATAACTGTTCTCTGTTTTGTTTTTTACAGACTATAACCGTACTCCAAGACAAGACCAACAAACCAAGGAACCACCTAAGTAGGAGGATTGGATGCTAGTATTCTCGTCAGTATGATATTCTCATGGACTTCCTGCATAAAGAATCTGTTTGCTGGGACTTGTTACAACATTTCTTTTCTCTTTATTGAACTTATTTTGTTGCAATTTATGATGAATAGTTCCAGTGTTCATTTGATACTTTCCTTTGTTTTATATTGTTGCCTTGTTTTCAGCTCAGCTGTTTGTTTTATACAAAGTTTCAAGTATATCTTATATGTCTTCATGACTTATTAAACGTTTTTCTTGTTCCCCTGTACTATTGGCTTCTTGAATTGTTTTATTTTGTGTTTAGATGTTTAATTATATGCCTATACACTTTGGGCAATATTTATCCTTAGTACTTCGTGAGATGTGCTAACCATCCACAGTTTCCCATTTTTAAAAATCTGAGGCATTTAAGATTCCCACGCTCAGCACGGCTCTCCTGATTACCTGATTGGCTGAAATGCTGTTGCTGTGCACATGCACAGCGCAAGCTTTTTCAGCTCTGGCCTTTGACTCCGGGAGGCTGCCGCATACCCACTAGCTTTGCTAGGTGGTTATGCTCATCACTAAGACAAAGAAAGTTTGCAGATCATAGATTCCTGCAAACTCTGATGTTTTTAACCCTGCATTGCAACTATTAAAATGCAGATTGGGCACTAGCTGTTGCTTCTACATTTTGGCTTTGTTAAATAAATCATGACGCATAATAGGTGTAATATGTAATATGTAATATGTGATGTGTTGTTATTCATCTGAGGCTGTATTTAGCTCATTTTAAGACCTGCAAAGGAACAGATGATTGTTATAATGCCCTGATATATACACATCGAATTCAAAAAGGTTGTACTTTCTTTTCCCCACCATGTAGTCTGCCCTCAATCAATAGAGTTATATGGAGCAAAGTGTAAAATGAATGATTTACTAATACTGTTATAAAGAATTGGTCTGCAAAACTGGATGGTTCCAAGGTAAATCAAACTATTGCAGTGACAGTAAAAAAAAAGATCCATCAACAAAGGTCAATAACTGTGAACCTAAACTACTGCATCCCATGTTATTTTCAAGTACTGTTCTGCCAAATTCAATTATTTTGGCCATTTTAATTTTTGCTTTAAAGCAAACTCAATCTTTACAAATTGAAATTTAACCTACCCAATAATTAAATCAGTAGTGGTTCATCCATATGGGCATTTGGGGCAGTGCCCAACCAGTATTTATGTGGGGGAAATAATTTGCAGTAGATTAATAACACTAAGATTCTTTTTCTGTAGAGGAATGCCATAAGCTTAACAAATATGAGAAAGGACATTACTGTCTCCTTATTTCTGTAATATTTTTCCGTTTAAAAGGGCCCCTGGCTGTTCATTGGTAGATATTTGGAGAAGCTTACCTGAGAGTATCCAGGCATATTAAAAAAAATGGGACAGATTTGAAATTTGCCCCGTTTCAGCAGGTTTTGCACATGCCTAGTGTCCTTTAGAAAAGATTTCAGGAATTTCCACTGAGTTGCCATTTTGGCAGCATAGCCAGCTGACAATGAGTGGAGACATGCTACTGGATTTTCTATTCATGGGCCTTTGTTGGATGATAGATCCAGGGGGTGGGGCTACAGGAGAGATAATCAATAAGTCATCTTGGAAGCAGCACTGGGAGAGCATAACAGCAGCAGGTCTTGGCCCCTGCAAACTGTAATTGCACAATATTATCTCTTCTCTTCTCCAATAGCCCCAGTGACTTCATGAGGGCTGATTAAACAAAGGAATTTACTCAAATATATAATTAATGTGTACAAAGTCAGGGAGGCCCAAGGATGGCAAGGGGAAGGGGACATTTCTGACACAGAGCAGTGTGCTGCCTATCACTAATAGTTTTAATAACTTCTACTGCACATAACCACCATCTTTTTTTAAGGTGCCCAGTTTCTTTACACCTGAGACCTGAGACACTCATGCTGTGGCTAGTTGAAAAATTGTGAAGTTTCAAACTGCAGGACTGGAGCTGTGACTTTAATATATTTTAATCTGTAATGATTGTTGATTACGTTAACTATGTCAGCTACATCGTGGCTCCATATTGCCTCTGCATGTTACAGACAGTCCTCACTTACCAATCAGGTTCCGTTCTTATGACTTGGCCGTAAAACAAATTGGTTGGTAAGTGAAGATGCGCCAGAGAGCATGCGCGTTGGTTGGTAAGTGAGGATGTGCTAGAGAGCAAGTCTATTTATATGGGGAATTCCTCTGAACACAGACCAGTTCACTATTGCTGGGAATGCCACCAATTCCACCAATCTATGTTCAGATTAGCTCACTAGTGAATGGAACTCCACAAATCTATGTTCGGAAAAAATTCTAGCTCACTTGCACAGGAAATCTCGGGAATCTATGTTCAGGGAAAATTCCCTAAACATAGATTAGCTCTCTAACATGGGGAATTGGTAGGTTGCAAAGTAAGGATCACCTGTAATTATATTGTGAACTGCAAAGGTAATAAGGAATCTATTAGTATCCTGCTGATTTAACTCTGTGTGCACTGTGTGCTGAGAGCTCATAGTGACTCTGGAGTAGCTGACATGGTTGGAGTCTATCTTGATGCCCCTAGTCCCATGCCCCGTCTGTAATATCAGGAGCACTGGAAGGAAGTAAGAGCCCATAACTTCCTCACATCTATAAGTGGAGAGCACTTATGGGAGGGAGGATGGCACATGCACTATGGGGGGAGAGGAGTATTAAGAGAGAGCTGCTCCAGGCCCTACAGTCCCATTAACTTCAGCCAGCAGCAGGACCCCAAGCAAGACACCCTCCTGCACAGGTATGTTAACAGGAAGTTACCTGCAAATATAAAAATTATGACATGCACATGTTTATGTCTCTATGTATGTGAGATTATGTGTCAAGGTGTGTGTATTTATCAGTGTATTTATCAGTGTGTGTGTCAGGGTGTGTGTATGTGTCCAGTGGTGGAACTATCTCAATTGCAGCCAGTGCGGTTCCCCAGGGGACCCACACTCTGAAGGGGCCCATTGGCTGACCCATGCACTTAGGGCCACCCATTGGATATTGTTGATAAACAGCGGCCCAGTTAGGCATGGCAGCCCTTCAAGAGTGCAACTGGGCCCCTGTAGTATCTGCAGCACTGGGAGGAAGTGAGAGCCTGTCACTTCCTCCCAACTATAATGGGAGAGCCCTGGTCAGGAGAGAAGATGCAGAAGTGGCACAGGCAGTTTGGGGGAGAGGATCAAGTAGAGAGAGCTGCACCAGACCCCACAATTCCATTAACCTCAGCCAGCAGCAGGATCCAAGCAAGCCACCCTCCTGCACACAAAAGTATGTTAACAAGAGAGTGCCTGCAAATATAAAATTATGACATTCATGTGTGTATGTGTTTATGTATGTCAGATTGTGTGTGTGTCAAGGTGTGTGTATGTGTTGGTATGTTACATAGCAGCAGGACCCCAAGCAAGACACCCTCCTGCATAGGTATGTTAACAGGAAGATGCCAGCAAATATAAAAATTATGACATGCACATGTTTATGTCTCTATATATGTGAGATTGTGTGTCAAGGTATGTGTATTTATCAGTGTGTGTGTCAGGGTGTGTGTATGTGTGCAGTGGTGGAACTATGTCTATTGCAGGTGTGTCAAGGTGTGTGTATGTGTTGGTATGTCTATGTGTCAGTGTGTATATGAATTTGTGTGTATATGTCAGTGTGTATCTGTGTGTTAATGTGTATGTATATCTGTGCACCTATGTATGTGGCAATGTATGTTTGTATGTGCATACATCCCAGTAAAACCCCCAAAGCACAACATGCAAACACACTCCTGCATTAAAATTTCAGTTGTATCTGTGTTTTACTCAGCTCTACCTTGTGTATCTCTGTAGTTTACCCAGCACGTGTACTGTATAGGTGTCTTTGTACTGTGCTCAGATCTGTATATTATATCTCTATTTTTTTCTTTGTTTGTGGTATGACTTTCTCTGTGTTGTACTCAACTCTATGCATTTTATGGATATCTTTATGTTCTGCCCAGCATGTATTATTGTATCAGCATCTCTGTATTGTGCTCAGCTCTCTCTATTGTATAAGTATCTTTGTACTGTATAGGGTTGTTTTTTTTTCTTACATTGAGCACTTTAAGAATATACAACACATAATAATTTTAATTCCTATTTAAAAAGACAAATATTGACTGTTAAAAGAAAAAGCACGCTGCTCAAAAGCAAAACTCTTTTGTTTAATGTTTGTAATTTTTCCTATATTTTTTATAATGTGAATAATTTAGTTGATCTTGAATATGTAATGTTTTCTTTGACTCTTGTTTTTAGAGGTTATAAACAAATATTTTGTTAAATTATGTTATGGTTACTCTACATCATTGTATCCCTTATTGTATTGTCACATGAACCTGCAATAAAAACCCAAAACAAAACAGATAAAACTAATAATCAAAAAAGATAACTAACGGTTATCTCTCGTGCAGAGAGAACTTGCTGGCATTTCGGATCTGGACTGCCCATATGGGTGGGACCAGTCTGATATGCTTCAGATATGTTCTCTCTGTAATGGCACAAGATGAGCAAAAATCAGCTTGAGAACTCAGCAGGCACCGTCTGACCGAAGGGCAGGCTATTTCAGCTGCTGCCCGTTCTCAGTATTCTCTTGCAACCCATTTTTGACTCTCCACAAGTTTAAAGGGATAATCCAGACGTGCCTAGGGAGATATCAGCTATGCCTCATGATGATGCCTAACAAGGCTGAAACGATCGTCTGAGATTGCTGTATCTCTCGTGCAGAGAGAACTTGCTGGCATTTCGGATCTGGACTGCCCGTATGGGTGGGACCAGTCTGATATGCTTCAGATATGTTCTCTCTGTAATGGCACAAGATGAGCAAAAATCAGCTTGAGAACAGAGCGGGGACCGACCGAAGGGCAGGCTATTTCAGCTGCTGCCCGTTCTCAGTATTCTTTTGCGACCCATTTTTGTTTTAAAGATATGCTAGGTAGGTTTGAAGCTTCTCAGTTTTTAGCTAGTGAACATTTAGGGAGAAAGATTTTAGTCTTGGTACAACAATGGAAGTTAGAAGAGCAACATAAACTCTATTATGAACAAACCATAGAGAGAATGCAGGTGTATAGCTATCAATAATCAAATAAAATATTATTGAATTATAATGAGATTTTTAGACCATTAAAGCTATAAACCAGAATTGTGAAGATAATGCATTGACATTCAGGAAGTGGGGATAGTGATTTTATCTGTAAATATGCAAGTGCTGTTTTTAAGTAAGAAGTGTTCTAGTGGTTGATTGTATTAAACGATCAGAGAAGATAGCTAGGTGCTTTCAATACAATTATGTGATGTATATTGTACAATTTGAAGCTTTGCTAAACTTATCCTTATTAACACATCTATAAAGAACTATTACATATACATACATTTATACATTGCAAATTAGGTATTAGCACAGTTTGTGCAAAGGCAGGAAAAGAGTATAATATAGGGGAAATTTAACTCCATGCATTATCATAAAAGAAAACAAAAACAGGAAGTGATTAAATTGGCAGTCTTACAAAAATTCAATGACATTCACTAGAGCAGACATAGGCAACCTTCGGCACTATGGGGATGTAGTCCACAACATCTGGAGTGTAGAAGGTTGTCTATCCTTGCACTAGAGCTTGTTAACATAGGTTAAAAGCAGTCAGCATCCATTTACTTCTATAAAAAAAACTTTGAGAGATGTAATAATCATCTCGTTCAGTGCCTGCCACTAGCCTAAACATGGCAATTTAACACCAAAATATCCATCTCAAATCAGTATGTCTATGACTCCAGGCAGAAGAAAGCTTTAGAAATTCTACCAATGCAATAATGAATCATTATATATATGCTTTCCTATTGCCTAACTGTAACTTAACCCTTTCATTACTGAAGTTAAAGAACCAAAATTAAATACAAATACATTGTTTGTTGTCCATAGGATCTGTGAAGTCCCATGATATTTCCATTAAAAAAAAAACAGGCAAATGGTTGGTGACCTCCTTTTATGTTCTCTAGGGGCATGGTAAATAGTCACCACGTTTTTCCACCCTACAGCAATGGAGGCATGTCCATAGTGGCATGTATGGCAATGTACTACCAGATAATTGTCAATAAGAGAGGTGTAAAAGATTGAATTATTGTTTTACTTAGGGAAAGGGTTAGCTTGCAATTTTTTGTAAAAAAAAAATCAGAGAGCACAATAGTGCTATATTTTCCCCTCCCTTCTTCCACTTTAGCACAGACTGATTCACTGATAATGAATGATGACTGTTCTGGATAAGCTGTTGAGGGCAATTGGGCATGTGCATAATTTAGGTTGTTTTTTAAATCTGTCCAATCAGAGAGCACATCAGACTTACTTAGTATGTCCCTAAAGGTTGTAATGCAAAGGTTTTAAAGTTAAATTCCTATATGGGGAGGTCAGGGCCAGCCTTAGGTCTTTAGGCGCCCAGTGTGAAAAATCTTCACAACACCCTTCCCTGTCATACCTGTTCAGTCATGTATAGTGTGTATGATAAGGTTTTAGTGTTTGTATATTACGGGACTGTGTGCATGTGACTATGCAAAATAAACACCTGCACAGTTAAAGGCAGACAGTCACAAACACAAACAGTTACAGACAGTCACACACACACAGTTGCAGTTTCACACACACAGTAACAAACAGTTGCACACACACACACACACACACACACATACACAGTTACAGTCGCACACACACAGTTACAAACAGTCGCACACACATTTACAGACAGTCGCGCACACAGTGGCAGACTGTAAAACACAGTTACAGACAGTCACACACACACACACACTCAGTTACAGACAGTCACACTCTGTTACAGACAGTCACACACACAGTGACAGACTATAAAACACACAGTTACAGGGAGACTGTCACACACACAGTTACAGACAGTCAAATACACAGTTACAGAAAGTCACACAAAGTCACATAAACAGTTACAGACAGACAAACTGAAGTTACAACTACCTGTTTCCAATATGAGCTGGAGGAAGGAGTATAGGCACTGCCATCCCTGGTGTCTAGGAGTTGGGGAAGCAGAGACTCCATCTTGTTTCCCCTTAGAGTGCAGCAGTAACTGGGCAGCGGGTTCAGGCTACAGCTAGCTCAGCCCCTGCTGCCCCTGCAGCTCCGCTAGTAACATATTTAGCTCCACCCCTCCATAGCTAGCTCTGTCTTCACCTTTGTGACGAAGTGCCCTTCGCCACTTGTGCCTGGAGAGGACTGCTTGCCCGCCTCTTGCCCTGTGACTATGGCCCCTGGGATGTATTGCCCTTTAAAGACATGATTTGGGCATAATGGATTTGTGTTGTTCTGCTGCTGGCCCTTTAAGAACCATCTGGGGACATACTGTGGAGTTACTGGGTGGCCACCATTTCCTGTATCAGAAGCACATTGTGAGAACAATGGATGGCGGCCCCATTTTAACTCACAGACACTGTTTGGACTTTTCAACACGGTGCCATCTCGCCAGTATTTGGTGCACAGAGACATCGTGCAGTGGTTTTGGACTATACAGCAGGGGACACATTATACAGTGATTGTTTTTCATTTAACCTGTATATGTTCTGCAGAATCTGCATTAAACTGTATTTTCCAAAGTACTGAATGGATCTGGGTGAACCACATATCCAAAATTCACCCAGATCCGTTCAGTACTTTGGAAAATACAGTTTAATGCAGATTCTGCAGAACATATACAGGTTTTTATGGGGTTATTGCATGTTTTGGGATCCCTGTGATGTGTTTTATGAAACTGTATTATTTTTGGCCAGCAGATAATTGAGCTTTGTGTATTGTAGAAACTCAATTATCTAGCCTGGCCCAGAGGAGGAGTTTTGTGTTGCATAAATTGTGAGTTCTGTGTGCCAGTAAATCAGTCTTGTTCCAGCATTAAGCCTTGGCTCATGTTTGGGGGATTGGAGAAATACACTCTGGGAATTGCTATAATCACTATACTCCCCAGGGTATGATCACTAAGTTCTGCTAAGAGCTAGTGATGTCGCGAACCCGAAATTTTCGGTTCGCGAACGGCAAACGCGAACTTCCGCAAATGTTCGCGAACCGGCGAACCGCCCGAAACTCCATTGACTTCAATGGGGAGGCGAATTTTAAAACACACAGGGACTCTTTCTGGCCACAATAGGGATGGAAAAGTTGTTTCAAGGGGACTAACACCTGGACTGTGGCATGCCGGAGGGGGATCCATGGCAAAACTCCCATGGAAAATTACACAGTTGATACAGAGTCTGGTTTTAATCCATAAAGGGCAGAAATCACCTAACATTCCTAAATCACAATCAATATGGATTGACACCTGACATATGACATGTTGACACCTTGACATATGGATTGACACCTGTCCTCAGAGCCCCTGATGCACACGGACACAGAGCAGAATAGAGACTGGTCCCCCTACATAGGGTCACTTGGCAGATATGGATTGACACCTGTCCTAAGGATCCCGATACACACTGACACAGAGCAGAATAGGGACTGTTCCTCCTACATAGGGTCACTTGGTAGATATGGATTGACACCT